ATTGAAATTTATTATGTTTTCAATCATAACTCCTAAAATTTAAAAGTTTTTGAGAATGACAAAAATGTTTTGAATTTATAGTATGTAACCAAATAAAGTATCCTTTCTCATAATTGTGCAAAAAATTAAACTTGAGGAGATCGCAAAGTTGTACCAGTGATGACGCATAAATTTTTCTTTCTCCTTCTGTCTCGTTTGCAGTGCGACAGCAGCAAGGAGAAAACACCTCAAATCGGCGGTAATCAAAAGTATCCATGGCTGAGCCGTCGGCGGTTTTAGATGGACTCCAACACCAAGGGAAGACGGTTGGGACTGAAGCTTCTGTGTCAACCAGGAACTTCATTGAAGAAAATGAGTTTCCCAGAAATATCACATAAGAGGATGAAGAATCTGCGGAAATAGAGCTTAAGTATTTCCGCCGTTAACTAGTTTCCTGACTGGAAACAGGGAGATCCACGCTGGTTAGCTTCATCTCCCCATCAGCGGTGATATCAGCAAACTGAAGAGGAACCTGTTCTCCCATCTTCAAGCTCTGAACTACGACTAGAAGACCTGGGCAAATAACTACGGGCTCCAGTCCTTTATGAAGAGTTGAGTTCCACCATGGTGCAGAGCATCAAATAAGGACGCACTATTGTTGGGACGCGCTCATGATTAAGTAATTGTACATTCATTGATAACTAATGAGAACGAACATTGAGTACACACAAACCGCTCAAAAGTGTGACATACATACATTCATTGCAAGGTTTTTGACCAAAAGCTAAACAAAAATTAAAACAACTGAATATTAAATACTCTAACAGCTGGAGCATAACTTGTATTAAAACTGAGGTCTTTAAAAGTCTTCCTTTCCTATATCAATGCTTTTTGTAATCTAAAGATTAAATTTAAAGGGACTGTAAACGTAATTCAGGAAAGGGTCAACTTAACTATTTAATGCTGGTAAAGAGTTCAAGGCCTGATTAACTAAGGTATGAATCGGACATGCCACTCGAGAAATGAATGGTCATTAAAAAATATTTAATAAAATCAGCAGCTTAAGATTTTGTTAGATATCGTCTTCCTCTGACAACTATTTTTGGAAGATAAAAATATGGGTAATGTTACATCGTCTATACGCAATATCCCCCCTACTGAACTTCCGACCTACTAACTTTCCGACCTACTGCAATATCGGACCTACGCCAGCTGTTTATTTTTGTATTATTTGAGGGTTAGGTTAGGTTAAGACAATTTTTGGGCCGAGCGCTGCGGCTAAGACAGGCTAGGGGGCCGGGCGCTGCGGCCACATGTCCATATCGCAGCTGTAAAACCACGTGCTAGTAGGTCGGATGTGTTGTATAGCGGATTTGGCGTAGGTCAGAAGTGGAGTATAGCGGATATGTGTAGGTCGAAAAATACACCACCAATAATGTGAGATAATATTTAAATCTATAAACTATACGGAAGTCAGTTACCTTTTGTGTGGAGCAAACAGTTTTATCCAATTGTTCATGTCTGATTTTTAACATCTTCCCCCAGAAACACATTGTAAATATATTTTGATTTGCCCAATGGAGACAAAGTGAATCCGGACTTCATCTTTCTTGTTTTTGTATTTTTCACGCTCACGTGAATTTTACATTTTTAACATCCTGCGATGGTCACACCCTGTATAAATAACTTTACTGGAGAGATAAAGCAGTGATCCTGAAATTTAAAAATGTCCACATTGGAAATCGGATGAAGCTTTTAAGATAAACAAAGGTTCCGATCTTGACTTTTTATTGTTATTGTATTTTATTACCCACTGAGAATAACTTGAGGAATTTCCCATTTCCAGTATTGTTCCGAAATATTCCCTTTTCCACTTCTTTAATTTTCCATTTCCCTGTCTTGTTCATAAATATCCACTACTTATATCTCTCATTTCCTTGTCTTGTTCATAAATATGCCGACTTCTTATAGTTCTCATTTCCCTGTCTTGTTCATAAATATCCACTACTTATATTTCCTTGTCTTGTTCATAAATATTTCTACTTCCTATATTTCTCATTTCCCTGTCTTGTTTATGAATATCTACTTCTTATATTTCTCAATTCCCTGTCTTGTTCATAAGTATCTACTTCTTATATTTCTCATTTCCCTGTCTTGTTCATAAATATATCCCCTTCTTATTATTTTATATTTCCCTGTCTTGTTCATAAATAGATCCCCTTATATTTCTCATTTCCCTGTCTTGTTCATAAATATATCCCCTTTTTATATTTCTCATTTCCCTGTCTTGTTCATAAGTATCTACTTCTTATATTTCTCATTTCCCTGTCTTGTTCATAAATATCCCCTCTTATATTTCCCATTTCCTTTCTTATTTGCCTGCCTTAAATTAGATAAACCAGGAATATATTTGGTATCAGAATGCAAATTTTTAGTTAATTTAAATTCGTCTTTGCATTCCAATGTTATCAGGTTTCCCCTATATTAAGCCAAATATTTTATTTCTATTTGCCCCCCCCCCCCCCCCCATCTCCTGCTGCAGAGGGGGGGGGGAGAGGGGGACATTATTGTAGAATTATTCCGTGCACGCAGAGAACAGGAAAGAGCACTTTTCTTCCTGTTTTTACATTTCCTTCCATTAAATGTATATATACACTCTCAAAACCAATATATATATACTATAACAGTTTTACTCAGACTCCACGTTGCAAATTCTTTAAAAAGCCGCTTAAAGACTATTTATAGAACTCTTTTAGCTAAAAACTTTTGAAACTTTAAACCTAATTTTTATATTTTCCATGATTTTTTATTATTATTCAATTTTATCATCTACTACTTAGTTTTTGTTCTATGTGTTTATTAAAACATAGGTGGATAAATTACGTTTTAATGTTATGCTATTAAATGTTTATTGAAGAAAACTCAACCTAAATATGTCAACTTTGATATTGATTCTTGAAACAATGGTTGGCCTGCCATTGTTTCATACAATCGTGGACAAGTTCTTATCTTTAAACTGCAGTACGGAGGGGAGAGGGGGGAGGGGGATAATGTTTACAGAACAGATTTACAAACAAACACGAACATGAGAAAATGTGTTCTATTTGTTTTACTAATTGAAGAAAACTGCTGATATAAAATCAAATAAATATCGAATCAGTTAAATAATTTGGTGAAGTCGTAGTTGATGAATTTGCAGTAAAGTTGGAGCATACTTATTACAGGATGGGGGGAAGGGTGGGGAGATAAGCTGACCATTTTTACGGATATTAAAAGCTCTCTGTGAGTTGGGTTCAAGTGTATAGACAAGACCCGGGTTGCTAAAATAGTAAGTATATTTAACTTGATTAAAAGCTTTGGCTTTAAATTACCAATTTTGCTTGTTATATGTGTATTTTGGAAGTTTTTTCTAACCTAATTAACATTGGTATTTAGTTTATATACAATACTAGCTTGGTTACCCAGCTTTTCCAGGAGTTTTTTCTATTAAAGGGAGTGTTTGCGAAAATGAAAGGGGCACAGGTTTCCGTTGAAAAATATTCGATGGTGATTGCTACTTATCTTACTTTTTCCTGTTGCGTCTATAAGGAGAAAATTGTTAAAAACGACAATTTTTTTTCATTTTTCGCGAACACTCCCTTTAATGTTGACCCAATCATTTCAGAATTAAACAAAATTTGAGGAAAATCGGTGGAGAGGTTAATTATGATCGAACAGTGATTACTACTATAAATGTAACGTGTGGCCCACTATACATGAAAATTAAAAAAACGGCATGACATTAAAAAACGCCCAGCCCACATCGTTTCAATTCTACGCCCAAGTACAAGAAAACCTAATTTATTTAATTACATATAAATTCATACTTTGTTGTTCTTCTCATTTAGGTCTTTAAAAGGTTATGATTGACAACATTTACGATTTCAGCCTAACGTAAAAGCTACTTAGGTTTGACTTGATCTAGGTGGTTTCTTGGTTATATTAGGAAATCAACACCAATATCATTAATATTAGGAAATCAACACCAATATCATTAATATTAGGAAATCAACACCAATATCTAGGTTTTATCTCAGTAATATTAGGAAATCAACTCCAATATTTAGGTTTTATGTCAGTAATATTAGGAAATCAACTCCAATATCTAGGTTTTATCTCAGTAATATTAGGAAATCAACTCCAATATCTAGGTTTTATCTCAGTAATATTAGGAAATCAACTCCAATATTTAGGTTTTATGTCAGTAATATTAGGAAATCATCATCAATATCAAGGTCTTATCTCAGTAATATTAGGAAATCAACACCAATATCATTAATATTAGGAAATCAACACCAACATCTAGGTTTTATCTCAGTAATATTAGGAAATCATCACCAATATCTAGGTTTTATCTCAGTATCTCAGTAGTATTAGGAAATCATCACCAATATCTAGGTTTTATTTCAGTAATATTAGGCAATAAGCTCCAATAGGTTATCTCCTTTTCCAATATTTTAGTTTGAAAATTATAAACCCCTGCGATAATATTTTTATGTTGAAATGGTGGAAGAAATGTTAAGAATTGTATGAGTGTCGATATTTCAAATTCTTGAGTAGTTGGCTTTCAACTGTCAATCAACATTTGGTCAAACTTTCAAGTTTTAGAAAACTTTTAATTATTAAACCCTCCCTCACCCTTGCATTCAACAACATTTATGAACCTAATATTTGCAATATTAACAATAAACATCTCTTATTTATCCATCTTATGTTCTTATTTTTACAGATTAGGCTATTACGGTAACAATTTTTCGCTGCTAACCGTTGCTCTTTGAGATGCTATGTCTTATTTTGCAAATTTTTCTGTTTAATTTGGTAAACTTTTAAAAATAGTAAAATGTCGTCTTTTTTTTCGGGCAACTTTTTTTCATCTTTAGTTATCCATTAAACTTCCCTGGGATCATGTGAGTTGCCACACAAGGTTTGGGCCCGATCGGTTCAGCCGTTTTGACGTTAATTGGATACAAACAAGCAAAGGATATATATAAAGATGAATTTATTAATATTTCATAAATTACAGATATGATAGATATTTGTTTGAACAGGAAGATTTCCGCAGGATCTCCGGATAGGCGCAATCTTCCGGACACTTCCGCAGATACGATCCCTCTCTAGGGTTCTGTAGGTTCCGCCAGGTAGAGAACTAGTGACGGTTCTGCTGTATAGCTCAGGGATAGATCTTTGACTGTGACTCCATGTCCTATAATGGTTCTGATTCTCCTCCCTACTCCTGGATCTCAAGGTTCCAGAGATACAAGAGTTAGATCTCTGAGAAGCACAGTACAATCATTAAAAGTTTTTATAAAAATTTTTCAGAAAATCTGAATTTTAAGAAAATAATTTGAGTTTGTATGTTCCTTAAGTTTATAATCTTGTTGTGTTGACGTCCTGTGATCTATATCAGAATATCCTTGATCCATCCTCTCCTCTAGAAGGATTTTCTCCTGCTCCTGGTCCCTCTCCTGGTGTAGGATCCTGGTAGATCTATCCATGGTTTCTCTATTTCTAAACCCAAACCAGGGATTAAAGGGAATGTTCAGGAAGTCTTGGAATTATTGAACCCCAAGAACATAAAAGTAACTCCCATCAAGCGTACTGCAACTGCAAATTATAAAAAGAATGTAAACAAACGCACATTCCATCCCACATCATCCAGACTGAACAAACACCAGCTCGAATATATTTAGAAGACGACATTCTATAAGTCCATTTAATCCAAGAGAATACATATTTAAGTACGAAAAAGATATTTTAGTACCCCCTTGTGTCCCTTTAAAACGTAAATGTTTACGAAATTCCAGAAACTGCAGAACACTTTATTTTATAGGAGTTTCTCTTACATTCCTTGGTTCAACCAAGATAATAACCATGAATTCCAATATTTTATTAACAAAAAGAGTGTACTGCAGTTTCTGCATGAGATAAATATATACCAAGCTCAGCCTTAGTAGCACCCATGCGTTGGTTTCAAGAATATTTAATCTATGGTGGGTTTACATTCCTGTCAGAAACTGCAGTACATTTAAATTTCAATACGCTGTTTACTCAAATACCCAAAAAAGAAATATTAACAATTAACTCACAACCAAGGAATGGTTCATTCCTTTACGCCAACGTTTTAAAATAAAATAAAAGTTAGTTTAAAAGTTCTTAGTTTTAAGCTAAGGAATTGAGTCTTTTCCACAAACTCTAATTTGCTAACTCCTAACTCTTTGCAACCCAATGTCGTTGACCTAAGATATTTAAAATTATGAATTCTCTTAGATCAAATAATCTTAGTTTAAATATCAAAGGTGTATTCAATCAGGTTGCAAACAAATCGGGATTAGAAAACTTGAGTTTGTGGCTTAGACTGTATTTTTTTTATTTGGTTTATAGTTAAAGGTTGGAACGGAAGTGCAATTGAGATAAAAGTTAAAAATCAATATTAAAAAATATTCCTGAAAAATTAAAAATAATAAAATTCTATTTAATATCTGGTTTCCTGGGGCAAGTTCCAAAACTACGAACGCTTCTCAGGGTCCCAGATCTACTGTGCTCTCCACATTCGTCCTCTGTAACAATGATTTTTTTAGAATAAAGCTACGGTTAAAGTTATTGAATTATTTTACATCTGTAAATATTATGTCATAATTTCAAGTGGTACTTATTTTAACCGGAAATATATGATGAAAATGTTTAAAATTAATAAAGTCTTTGTCACAAACTCTAATTTTATAATCCCAATATCTTTGCAGACCTTTGATATTTCAAACTTTATACTATTTGATCTGATAGAATTCATAGTTTAAAATATCTAAGGTCTATGACATTGAGTTGCAAAGATATATAGGGATAAGAAAATCAGAGTTTGTGGAAAATGTTCAATTTCTTTGGTAAACCGGAATAAAATTCAAAACTGAACGAGTAGAGAAAAATTTCATTTGTTGTGACTAACGCTGATGGCTTTGTCTTAAATAATGGAACTTTTTATTCTTTTAACTGAAAAACCTTTATAGACACACTGTACACTGTACAGGTACAGCTAGGCATGCAGGTATATGTAATGTTTAAAAGAGAAAAACGTTTAAAAGCACGTTGATACATCCAAAGAATATCTCTGAAAATGTTGAAGGCAAATTTCACTAGATTAACAGTTGCAAAACCGAAATCTGTAGTCGCCAGTTAATATCAAAAGAAAGAAAGATATACTACTCTTGTTTGTTACTATGTACTGCATTCATTACTATAAAATCTAATCTTAATGTGTTTATGTCATTTTATAAACATTAAACCCCTGAGCCCGAAATTTCAGACAGGGTATCGTCACGAAACCAGGGTTTCGTGAATGGGTTTAGTCAATTTTGTAGATAGTAAATGTTTCGTTCGAAATATTATTTCCTGATTAGTCTTGTATTCTAATTCTTACATAAATGTACACTAATAAATGTTTTGAGCCAAAATATGCTGCTTATGATAAAACATAGTTTTTAACGTTTCTAAAATTGAAAACTAATGAAACCTTTCTGAAATGACCAGGATTTTGGGTTTGTTTACCGACGTTAGTTGGAAAGTATTCCAGGCAAGGTATATTTGACCGATACAGGTATTCAAGTTGACCAGCGCATATACTCGGGTTTCTGGTCACACGAGAACATATACAATACAATACAATACAATACAATACAATACAATACAATACAATACAACACAACACAACACAACACAACACAACACAACACAACACAACACAACACAACACAACACAACACAACACAACACAATACAATACAATACAATACAATACAATGCAATGCAATGCAATGCAATTCAATGCAATGCAATTAAAAACAGTAAAATAATATACAATACTATATCACGATGAATACGATACGATCACAATAAATCAAAATACAAAATAATTTTATACAAATATATATACATAAAAAATAACAATACAAACTCAATATAGTGAAATTAAGTAAAATACAATACAATAATAAATATATTAATAATATTAATATACTAGTTTTATTGCACTGTGCATCCCTAAAATTCTGAATGCAATGTATTACTATAATTGAATCTATGCAGTTTAATATAATTATTATAATTTCAGTCTGCTTTAATAGGCATAGAAGATTTAAAAAATTATTCTTATTATTATGAGCCAATTAAATGCATCTTTTAAAGATGGAATTGAGTCTTTGTTAAGCACTCAAATTTTCTAATACCCTAATTTATGCAACCTGATTGTGTAAGCCTTCGAGGTCTACAACATTTTGGGTTACAAAGATATTGGGATTAAATGTCTGGGTTTGTGGCAAAGACTCAATTCAATTACCTTGATCTAGTTTTTTCTCCCCATTTTTTCATAAAAATCAGATAAATGATTAAACTGAAGAAAGAACGGATTAAAACTGGTTTTATGAATTAATGGCCAAATTATGATCAGCTGTGCTTTGTAAGCTCTCAAGTAAAAATTGATGATCAAATTTTGCCAATGACTTACAAACCAAATCTAACAACCAGTGCTAAAATGTGCTGTAAAGGGCTACAGTAAAGCAGAATTGAGACAGAGCTGTAAAATCAAAGCCCAAGGCGTTGCTACACTTTAAAGTCGACCCTGTCTTAAAAACGTATGAGACTTTTTACCAGCAGGCTGAATCTATGTTATAAAAAGTAGTTAAAATCCGGTCCTAACGTAGAATATTCCCAACATTAAACATCCAGTAGCCAGGAGAGCTTCAGCCCAGCCCATATCCTGTCTGAAAATGTTAGGAACCAGATGTTATTTGTAAATTCCAATCTAGTCTCGCGAAAAGTTCATATCATAAGTTACTGGTACGATTTTGTGACATCATATCTACTCTAGTTTTATTTTAATCCCAAGTATAAGAAAAGCATAGTTATTTGGGAGCACGATCATTTGCTATCACTTGCTATCAATTCACTTGCTATCTGTTTCACTTTCTCTCAGGCCTCACATGCACTCAGGCCTCACTTGCTCTCGTCACACTTGCTCTCTTGTCTCACTTGCTTTTAGGTTCATTTACTTTCAGTCTCAACTGCTATCAATGATCATCTGCTTTCAAAAACTAGCTCCTATCTAAATACGTTGCTATCAAAATTAGTTGTGTTTCGAAATAAGTTTTTTATCAAAACCAGTGCTTTGTCATTTTTTTTATTCGAAATGCAGCAAACCTATGCATACTTTGACAATCGTCAATCCTACCGTCTAACTGGTGAACAAGATACAAGATACACATGTACATACACCCTAATAGTAAAGTAACAACGTACAATGTACATAAGTGAGATGGAGATACAAGATATGAACGGATGTGAACGCGCTAATGACTCAAGATGGAGAAACACCGGAACCAGTTCTATAATAAACACCGGAAACTGAATGAATACCACGTGGTCTAACCGGAAGTCGTATGCGACCCACCGGAAATGGAGGAGAAAAGACAATAAAGGATATTGGGGAATAACGCTGAGTAATTATGCATCCTGATATTTTCTTAACAATAGATAAAAACTCTAGTAGTACAACTATTCTGTTTCAGCAAAACAGCGTGTTCCATTTCTCGCAACAACAAAAAATCTTGTTAAGATACATGATAGTTTGGAACATGGTTTATGAACTTCGAGTCTTTGACACAAATTCAAATTATTTTCTAATCCTTATAGCTTTGCAGCATGATCTTGTAAACCATTGATATTTCAAATATATATTTTTTCGTCTCAAAGAAATCATAGTTTGAAATATATAAGGTCTACGACATTGGGTTACAAATATATAGGTAATTATAAAATCAGAGTGTGTGGCAAAACACTCATTTGCTATACAGTTCAGCACTTTAAGAATCCCAATTGCGAATAATTCACAATCAAATATAATGTAGATAGCTCATGTTTGATACAGTTTTAAATATTTTAATCTACTTAAAGGGACTGTCAATGTATTTTCAAGGGACCTTCCAATTAAAGAGGGGCATACACTTTTTAAACCTTTATCTGATAAACAATGTGGAAGATATCGTATCGTCGTTTTTCTAGCTTGAAACTTCTAGCTTGAAACTTCTAGCTTGAAACTTCTAGCTTGAAACTTCTAGCTTGAAACTTCTAGCTTGAAACTTCTAGCTTGAAATTTCTAGCTTGAAACTTCTAGCTTGAAACTTCTAGCTTGAAACTTCTAGCTTGAAAAGTGTTTAATGCTGATAATTTTCTCCAATTGAATCTATACAGCAGGAATACGCAAGTCACTTTTTTAGAGAAAACAATTTAGTACTGAATTTTAAAGAGTTAAACATTGATATCTTATTCACTCTTGATCGGCCAAAGCTTTTAAGGGAATTGTGAATCGGACGTGCCACTCTATAAATGGAGAGTCACTTAAAATTACGTTTACATTCCCTTTAATAAGCATGTTGAACAATTGAAATAAGTATCTATCAACCTGATATTTCAAATTTAGCCATGTTCGATCAGACAGATTTCATAGTTTAGAATTTATAAAGGTATGCGACATCAAGGATTAAGTCAGAATTCGTGGCAAGCACTCAGTTCCTTTTACGCAAAAAGATAAAATATTTTTTAAATGGAAAATGCGAATATTTTGTATCTTATTATAAAAATAGTTGCTATAAAAAAGACTACAGAATCTGGGACCGGATTTAATGAATTTGAGCCAGGTCTAAACTCTAAAGGCAGTTCAACCACGTATCTTAAATCGGTGATCCAGGATTTGTCCATGTCCTACAGATGATAACTATACTGCAGATATATGTACAGAACTACAGATACGTATATTTGAATCGAAAGTTGATAGTTTAGCGAGCTAGCTTAAACGTATTAAATTCGGCCTCTGAACATTCCAATCACAATATAATAATGTAAAATACATCGGCATTGATTGAGCTAAGCTCTGTTTGTTGTATAGCTAACTGGGCCTAAGAATAACAATGTCTAAGTACATGATTGTAAAGAATATAACTAGATGTGTATAGCTGGATGAAGACTGGTGAATATTGTTTATATCTAAAGATCGGATCACAATGTTTATCTTATAAATATATCTGGAGAAAAAAACTCAAAGTATCAGACTTACAGAATCATACACACACTCATTACTCATGCTTAAAAACATATGACCTATTCACATATCTCCAACTATCTCAATATGCACTTTCTATTCTCGACGTATAAGTCCAAATTCAAATTTAATGGGATTGTGCACTGTGCAGTTTTCGGAAAGTATAAGTCTTTAAACTTAGATAACCCTAAACTAATCAAAAGAGGCATAAAAAAGTAGCCTATGATATTCTTGGATGATTTCATTTAAAACATTGAAAAAAATGAATGAAAGTTTTTGCTCTTTTTTTGCAAAATATTATTTAAATGAAAGGTTAATTTAAGTTCACGAAAAGTGAAAGTCAGCAATTTCCTTTCTCCGTAATCAGCTGACCTGCATGTAAATACAGTATTACAGTGTACATCCATACAGAAATCAAGAAATAACGTCAGATCAGATCATACCTTACATTTCTCTTCAATGAAAACAGTAAATTCTAAAATATTTGTCAATATGATCTAATCTTCCAGAAAGAATTAGAGAAAAATATGTTTTTATTTACCTAAAACATATATATTTAATAATGTCTCCCAAGAAACCTGTTTCCTCTTTGTTTAACCTAAGTTTAAAGGTTGTAGAGTCCAGGTTATCTGTATACCTGGAGACTAGAACCAGGGACCTGGATCTAGCTCAGGACTCGAGGGTAGAGGAGGAGATACAAAATCTCAAGAAGTTGTGTCAAAATGATATTGATGAGGTGTTCCAGGGTCCACTTAGGTAAATAGTTATTCTAGTATCCATTTATTATTTTTCGATGACAATGAATTAAATAACTATGATTCTAATACTTAATCTAAATCTAAAAAAACCTGACGGTGTTAACTTTGGAAATTTAAAACTTAGACCTTTAGATCAATATAGCAAGATTCATGAATTGAAATATGAAAGGTCTACGAAATCAGGTTTCAAAGATTAAAGATTAGAAATTGAAGTCTGAGGCAAGTATCCGGTTCCCTTGGTTATGGTTGATCTTATACTCTTCATTCTGTTTTCATTACAACTTCACTTTGTTAACTCTTATCATGGAGCTTTATATCTCACGCTGATTTAACAGTTCGGTCCTGGTCAAAGCAAGTGTCACGTTCGATCACAATTTGACCAACTAAACGTAAATGTACAATTTGCTTGGACCAGGGCCAAACTGTTAAATCAGCGTGAGATATCAAGCTCCGTATAAAGTAAAGTTGAGATGAAAATAAAATGATGATGAAGGGTGGATCCGTTTAAATTGAAAAGTATAGACAGACATCTCACCCTAGTTAGTCACCCCCAACAAGAATCAAAAAGCTAACTTAATGAGCATAATACCTTGTATGATTTATTGATTTTACAAACTTGAAGTGATTGTCAACTCGAGGTTTGCTCTTTCTTAAAGTCAACTATTTGCAAAAAAATCATCAAAAAAGTAATTTTTATCTAATTCCATGGTATAACCCATTATTCGACTAAGCTCTACACCATGTTTTCATGTTTAGGTTTGATCTGTTGCAATTCTACCTACAGGGAAGTAATATTGCAACCAAAACTAGGATCGGAGCTTTCATACTCCTCTCGTCTCCAGGGATCCAATCCCTCTCATTTGGACATTTTACGGAGATTTGGTATGTTTGTCTGGCCCGCGTTTTGTCTACTTGTGCGCCTGGACTAATTCAACTATCTTTAAGGTACGAATTACATTTAAGTTATTAAAAGTACAATGATTAAATGATAATAATTTTAGATGGACTTGGTTCTGTGATAAATCTTTAAGAATTTTCATAAAATCTGCTTCACAAATGATAAATCTTCGCCAATTGTATGTTCCGTATATCGCCACCGATGAACTTCTAGCGACAGTTGGACGAAACTGCGGACATCTTGAATTGTTGGACCTGTCCGGAGCTTCCGGTTTATCAGAAAATTGCGCCAAGTCGTTGTACAGATATGATGTCGGAGGAATGGAGATTAATCACACTTTGAAATTCATTCTTATCAAGAAACCCGTTTTTTAAATCAATTAAGAGTCCATTGTGGTTAAAATTCCGATTAGTTTGTGATTGCTTTATGATTGGTAGGTGAATACTGGAGAACAGATCTATGCTCCAGTCTCCAGTATCTATATATTGGAGGACCTGGTGGAGACAGGCTAGAGCACAGATGTGTTTCACAACTCTTAGTAAATCTACCAAACTTAGTCAGGTAAAATATGCCCGTACATTATCCATACATTATTATTTTTTAAATGTGTTCATATATTTTTTTCTTCAATTTTCAAGAAATAGTATTATTCAATTATTTTATTAATATAATATTCATTTTGAATGCAATGAAAAAAAAATCAACGTAGAGTTTACTTTATTAAGTTATTTTAACACATTAACTTAGAAACACAGAATATTTTTTTTTTCATTTTATCACGTAACTATATAACAAAGCTCTTCCGCTCTTCGCTCCTATCATATAAATATATATGTTAGCTTTAGCAGGCCGAACGGCTGGACCAAATTGGCTGAAACATTTTGAGTCAACTCATGGGTACCGTACCCTGGGGTAACATAAGTTGAAAAAAATGTGTTTTAAAATTCCAGGGGCAACGCCGGACACTTCAGTTTTTACTTAATAATATACTATTTTAAGTTTTCTTCTTTCTTTTCTTATTCGATCATTTCATTTAGTCTTGGAAGCTATCCCAGAACTGCAGAAGCCCTGGAAAATGTAAGTTTTTTGCATTATTTAATTATCCTTTTAATAAATCCTTTAATTAATCTACCTGATAAACTTGATAAATGGAAGGAAGGATATGGTTTAGGAAAAAAATTCGGTTTAAAATCTATATTTATTCGTAAGCAGAGAAGATTTGGAGTAGAAGTATAAGGGGCGTTGATCAACAGAAAGGAGTATTGAAGTTGAGGGTGGTTTTAAATACATTCTTTTCTGAAGGCAGAGAGGTAGCCGGGGTGGGTTCGGTTAAAAATACACATTTTCTCCGTAGCAGAAAGGAGTATTAAAGTAGGGTTCCGTTAACATGTACTTTTCTGAAACAGAGAGGAGTAGTAGAGACGGTTCCGTTAAAAATACATTCTTCCCTGAAGCAGACAGGAGTAGTGAAGAGTAGGGTTCCGTTAAAAATACATTCTTCTCTGAAGCAGACAGGAGTAGTGAAGAGTAGGGTTCCGTTAAAAATACATTCTTCTCTGAAGCAGGCAGGAGTAGTGGAGAGTAGGGTTTCGTTAAAAATACATTCTTCTCTGAAACAGAGAGGAGTAGTGAAGAGTAGGGTTCCGTTAAAAATACATTCTTCTCTGAAACATAGAGGAGTAGTGAAGAGTAGGGTTCCGTTAAAAATACATTCTTCTGTCAAGCAGAAAGGAGTGTTGGAGTAATATTTGGTTACAAATATTTTCATTTCCGTAGACAGTTCAGAGATACAAGAGTAGGGTTCGGTACAAATACATTTTTCTCCGGAGGCAGAAAGGAGTAAGGCCGGGACGGGAGTAAGGTTGGATAAAAAAATACATTTTTCCCCGTAGGCAGAAAGGAGCAGAGGGGGACGAAGGAATGCACCTCTGTTTAAACTTCAGTATATTCATCAATTAAATATTCAACCTCAGGTTATATTAACAAAAATATGCTCCCTTTTGAAATTAAACTTTATCTTCAACATTTTTCACAAAAATCACGGAAAATTTAGACATTTCTTCAAAAATATCGATAAAGAGGGCAATTCAAAAAATTTCATTTCATCGTGAAACTGGATCCCAAATCGAAAAAAACTATTTTAAATAAGTTTAATTTAAATATTTTTTAAAATTTGATTTCTAGACTTTAAAAACTGTGATAAGATGCTGTCCGGATCTGAGGACTCTATTCCTTGATACTCCATGCTCAAACTGGTTTCAACAAAATGTAAATAATCCAGAAGAAAATAAGAAAGAAAATGATGACTTTTGTCTCAGATTAACCCGACTGAAAACTAATAAGGTTTGGATTTTTAACAATTATGTAAATATTTCCAATTCAAACAAAAAATAACTGAGTTAACCATAAACGATGATATTTCTATGACGACTGTACAGATTTAATTGCACTGTCAATTATTACATTTATCGGTTTCTTCAGCCCTAAACGCTTATTATAAGTTGGTCAGAGCAAAGATAAACAAAAGAAACATCTTTTTAATGCAGATGATTTATTAATCTTCAGTTTTTGAAACTAGGTTGGCCTATAAACAAAAAACCTTCAAAATCCAGTCATTGATCTCCTGAATACGTTGTGAACTATAAACACAAGGCTTGCAGGTTTCAGTCATTGATCTCCTCAATACGTTGATCTAAAAACATTAAACCCTTGCAGGTTTCAGTCATTGATCTCCTAAATACGTTGATCTAAAAACATTAAACAATTTTAGGTTTCAGTAATGGATCTCCTGAATACGTTGACCTAAAAACATTAAACCCTTGCAGGTTCAAGTCAAGTTCAAGTCAAGATCTCCTAAATACGTTGATCTAAAAACATTAAACCATTTTAGGTTTCAGTCATTGATCTCCTAAATACGTTGATTTATTCACATTAAACCTTTGCAGGTTTTAGTCAATTATCTTCTAAAGACGTCGATCTATGAACGTTAAACCAGAGCGTTCCAAACGGAATACGTTGATCTATAACCATAAAAACCCCTTGCAGGTTCCCGTCATTGATCTCCTGAGCACGTTGATCTATAAACGTTTAATCCTTGCAGGTTCTCGTCATTGATCTCCTGAGCACGTTGATCTATAAACATTAAATCCTTGCAGGTTCCCGTCATTGATCTCCTGAGCACGTTGATCTATAAACATTAAATCCTTGCAGGTTCCCGTCATTGATCTCCTGAGCACGTTGATCTATAAACATTAAATCATTGCAGGTTCCCGTCATTGATCTCCTGAGCACGTTGATCTATAAACATTGAATCATTGCAGGTTCCCGTCATTGATCTTCTGAGCACGTTGATCTATAAACGTTTAATCCTTGCAGGTTCCCGTCATTGATCTCCTGAGAATGTTGATCTATAAACGTTTAATCCTTGCAGGTTCCAGCTTCTGATCTTTTGAGTGCCCTGAGAACTGTAGGTGAGGGTACCCTGAGATGCCTAGAGTTGGTGAACTGTAAAGGAATATTAGATCTCTCCAAGATTTCCTACTTAGCTCAGGGATTAAACTCTTTAGAGGTCAGCTCATCCCTTTTTCTACAATAAACTAATAGTACATTTATCCAAAAACATTTATTATGTTTTGAAATGTCGCCGATTCTTTGAGTTTGACCTTCCTATCTTACTTCTAATTTGTGTAGCCATGCGAAGATATTTAAACTTTTAAATTCGTGTTGTTAACGAGTACTTGGAGGAGTACAAAATCCTAGAAGAGTCTTGCTGCAAAATGTGTAAATTTTAGTTTAAAGTGTATAGAAGTATTTAGGAATCCAGTTGAGAATCTGGGAATAAGTTTATAGTGTATAGAAGTATTTAGGAATCCAGTTGAAAATCTGGGAGTAAGTTTAAAGTGTATAGAAGTATTTAGGAATCCAGTTGAGAATCGGGGAGTAAGTTTAAAGTGTATAGCAGTATTTAGGAATCCAGTTGAGAATCTGGGAGTAAGTTTAAAGTGTATAGAAGTATTTAGGAATCCAGTGGAGAATCGGGGAGTAAGTTTAATGTGTATAGAAGTATTTAGGAATCCAGTTGAGAATCTTGGAGTAGAAAGGCGGAGTAAGGAGAAAAACGAGAATAATAAGGAAAAAGGGAAGAAAAAGGATCAGCAGAAATGGAAATTAAGATAAGGGAAAGAAAGCGAAAACAGAGGAAAATAGATTTAAAAATTCATATTGTTTGTAAATATGTATATTAAAGTTAGATTGATGATTAGGATATAAAAGTTGATTTTTATTTATGTTAAATAATGTGAATACTTTAGGTTTATTACAGTGAACACTGTGTACAGCTGGGACCTTTAAACCTGCAACATCTTACTAAATTAGTCCTGTACAGTACCGCACTCTCAGGGACATAATACTAAATGTTAGCCCTTTTCACTGTACACTATACAGTACACTACTCTTAGGGATATAACCCTAAATATTAATCCTGTACACTGTACAGTATCGTACTCTCAGGTATATAATTCTAAATATTATTCCTGTACACTGTACAGTACCGTACTCTCAGGTATATAATTCTAAATATTAGTCCTGTACACTGTTCATTGTACAGTACCGTACTCTTAGAGATATAATTCTAAATATTAGTCCTGTACACTGTACATTATACAGTACCGTGCTCTCAGGGATATAATTCTAAATATTAGTCCTGTACACTATACATTGTACAGTACCGTACTCTCAGGTATATAATTCTAAATATTAGACCTGTACACTGTACATTGTACAGTACCGTACTCTCAGAGATATAATTCTAAATATTAGTCCTGTACACTGTACATGTACAGTACCATGCTCTTAGGTATACAATTCTAAATATTATACCTGTACACTGTACACTGAAATAACTAAGATCTACGAGATCACGTGCAAAGATATAGGGTTTTATAAATTCTAGTTTTAGGTGATGAGCCATTAGTATTTGTTAACCCCTAAACTAGTATTATATATATGAATGTAGGAAGCCTAGGTGAAGAACTATTGTTTGTTTGTAAACAGCTTGTACACGTCACATTACAATCTGCTGATACACTGGATACCCAGGTAGGTTATTTATTTCATAGAATATAAGGTTAATTTTTAAATTTAAATATATATATTTGAAGATTTTAAAAATATTTCCAATGCTTAAAATCCCTAATCCCTGTTTTTTGATCACTCTGTAATCTGTTCTTGTTACAAGTAGTAAGATATACGCACCAGGTAACCGCAGAGAAAGTTCTCTGAAAAAAAGTTTTCGGAAATAAAGTCCAAAATTTTGCCACTAAAAAAGGGACTTTTTAGTGCCGAAAAAAGTCTTTGAAATCAAAAGTCTCTGGAAATAAAGTCCTAACATTTTGAGACTTTTTTTTAATGATTTTCTTTCTGATTCCAGTACGATTTTATACGAAAACACCCCCGGAAAAAAGTCCTATTATAGTAGAAAATGCTTGGGAACAAAGGATGTTTACAACCATGCAAAAAGCTGCTGCATCTGTGGCGGAAGACGATTTCAAGCTAGGCGGAAATCCAGACACGGCAAAGAAATTCAAGTTCAAGGCCACGTCACCAGATATACATGTTTTTCAACGATATAAATGATATATGAGATTTTAAGTTAGTCAATAAAGTATGTCTTTACTAGAAACTTTGTCATTATTGAGCGTAGCCAAACCCCAATACTATTTTAGGAAAAAAGTCCCATGAAATAAAAACTCGGGACTTATTTTCAGTAACATTTTGTCCTAGGACTTCAGAAAATTGGACTTTTTTCCAAAGTTTTCATTTTCAGGTTTTTTTCAGAAACTTTTTATCGATGACTTTTTAATAGATTCTACGCACCACACCCTAAACTAGGCTTTCGGTACGTACTGCGTACTGCCGTGATCTGCAGTAATCTGACCGAGTATATAATGGGATTTAGTGGAGAGCAATGAATGTAAGGCAAGGAAAGTCATTTCAGTGGTGTACGCATTTTTTGTACTGCAGTGTACTGTCTTTGGGTTCTAATATAAACACAAGAGTAGGGGTGTCACAGCCTGACATGGGATCCATCTTTCAAATAAAAAATCAATGATTTATTCTGGTCATAGGAATTTATAACATAAATTATCAAAATTAAAAAAAAACTTATTCCATTGTAATATTTTACTAAGGTTGTGGAAAAACTTCTGCATTTTTAATTATTTATCCCCCAAAGAGAACTGGTTTCAATATGTACACAAAGTATACAAAACCGCAATTGACTTTCCTTGCCTTACATTCATTGGTGGAGAGTGACCGTATAAATCACCTAATATTGTATTCTAAAAAAACATTTTTTTGTGGATTTTCATGTTTAGAAATTGTTTTGAAATAATTATTTTGAACCCTGCAATAACAACAAAAAAGCGCTGTGTATAACAACGCTAATCCCGTTTTTAAACTATTCCCCTCTTACAATTAATTACATGTACTTTGTAGAAGCTTGAGCGTATCTTCGCAGCCGGAGGTTTACAGTACATACAAGAGTTTGGCGTACTGCAAGCTCCAGGTAAAATAAAGAATATGTAACGTGCATTGCCCAGAATCGGAAGTTTTAGTTAGTTGCCATTTTTTCCACAGCATGTTCTATTGTGTACAAGTACTGTACACAACCAATCAGCAAACATCTATATTCAGGGATATTTAAGGATCCTTTGGATACGACACACAAAATCTTCAAAAAAAGACTGAATTCATAAATGTTATGTTTCATGTTTAAATTGGAGTATTTCTTTAAAAGTTGTAAAACTTAACCCCTGAATTTTTAAAGGGTTTGATGTCGAAAAAAAGGAAATTTTCAGTTGTTGCATGCAGATTTGGCTGTGTTCAATTCAAATCGATTTTTTGTTTTAGTGTTTTTTAAAATGTATAGTTCCAACAGCTGGAAAATAAACGATATGAGTCAATTTGTTCAACGTGTGCGCGAAGCGCAAAAGAAAATTTGTTATAGTTATAACATGTTTGTTACAATATGTTTGAACTCAACACAGCTGTTCCGTTATTAAAAATATGTTGAAAATACCGTCTTTGATATGTTAAAATAGGTTTTCCAGCACGAAAGTAAATTTTTATTTTCTGCCCCTTCTAGACAGTAACTATTGATATTTCTGAAATATTTAACAGCTTGAAAACAAAGTGTTTGACAATTAAAAGGGTTTTAGTAAATTAATAAGGATATGTCCAACATCTTTGTTCATTTAAAGGTTTAAAGGTTTAACCATTATGAATCGGGGATGAATTCCCCCCTTTTAATGGAAGGTCACTTGAAACTACGCTTACAGTTCCTTTAAAAAAGGTATACTAACTACTTAGTGTATATTTATTTTAATGTTCTAACTAAAAAACTGTTTTTTAGGATTGGATTATCATTCCCTCCTTTTCCTGATCAATAATCTGGAACACGTTAAGTAAGCATTAAACAAGTTTACTTCAGATTTCCTAATCAATAATTTGGAACACGTTAAGTAAGAATTTAACAAGCTTACTTCAAATTTCATAATTCACAAAAATACCAGGATGAGGGCTAAGTTTTTAAACATATACAGGGTGAGTCAAAAATAAAGGGCTAATAGAGAGATCTTGCATATAATAAAGCATTTTTTTGGTAATATTATTTTTGACAAATTTTTTTTTGAGGCAATCTGATAGACACTTTAAAAAAATCCGCAAAACTTATTTATTCAAAATTAGATGAGTAGGAAGAAAAGTGCGGGAATATACTATTTCTATAACACCTTAAAATCTTAACCAGATCAGATGAGTAGTTTCGGAGAAAATGCGCGAAATTAAACATTTTTAGACATTTTTACTTATCTCAAAAATTCTTATTACAAAAAGGATTTGGAAAGAATAAAAATTATAAAAATAACATATTGCTGCCTTTTTGTTTTCCTACTCTTCTAATTTTGAGTAAAAAATAGTTTCGTGGATTTTTTAAAGAGTCTATCAAGGATTCCATTTAAAAAAAATTCAAAAATTTCATATTTATTTGTCAAAAAATGAGATTATCAAAAAAAAATGCTTCATTATGTGCAATATCTCGCAATTCACCTTTTTTTTTGACTCGCCCGCACTTCGAATAAAAATCTGTATTTGTATTCACAAAATTCAGTATTACAGATATATGATCATTGGTGATAGTTTTAAATGTGATCTTCCATATTTTGAAGAATTGAGCAACATCAAAGGGAACAATAAAAACCAAAGGCATTTTAAAAGAAAAATCTTATTTCTTTCCGAATCTTTGCCATTTTATCAAAATTTTACGAAAAGAATTTCTATATTTTTTCTTAACCCCTCATGTTTTTTTTTTCTCCTCATTTTAATACTACATTTATATTTGATAGATTGATTGGTCAGTTGGATGGGTGGAAATTAACTCTTCAGGATGTAGGTTCATGTTTACAAGATTAAAGAATTTTTTACCTTTGTATTTTCTATTCAGGTCAACATTATGAAAAAGAAAGTTAAAGAAGAAGATTTCGATCTTGTTCTCTGGTATAATCTACCTGGATACATTGATCTGAACCTGGAGGATATAGAACCTTGATATCCCTGGTAAATAATCTTTCTGGGTACATTGATCTGAACCTGGAGGATATAGAACCTTGATATCCCTGGTATATAATCTTCCTGGATACATTGATCTAAACCTGGAGGATATAGAGCATTGATATCCATGGCATATAATCTACCTGGATACATTGATCTGAACCTGGAGGATATAGAACCTTGATATCCATGGCATATAACCTACCTGGATACATAGATCTGAACCTGGAGGATATAGAACCTTGATATCCCTGGTAAATAATCTTCCTGGATACCTTGATCTAAACCTGGAGGATATAGAGCCTTGATATCCATGGCATATAATCTTCCTGGATACATTGAACTGAACCTTGAGGATATAAAACCTTGATATTCCTGGTAAATAATCTACCTGGATACATTGATCTGAACCTGGAGGATATAGAATCTTGATATCCCTGGTATATAATCTTCCTGGATACATTGATCTGAACCTGAAGGATATAGAGCCTTGATATCCATGGCATATAATCTACCTGGATATATTTATCTGAACCTGGAGATTATAGAACCTTGATATCCCTAGTATATAATCTATCTGGATACACTGATCTGAACCTGGCGGATATAGAACCTTGATATCCCTGGTTTATAATCTTTCTGGATACATTGAACCTGGAGGATATAGAACCTTGATAATCTTCCTGAGTTGAAAACTTTAGAATGGGATATCCTTAATCCTGATCTGTAAAATAATCCGGAGATTAATAACATGAAGAGAACAAGCAATATTTAATCTGGAGATTAAGAAAAAGATGATCTAGATATTCTCTATTCTAAAGTTTTCAGCTCTGGATACATTGATCTGAACCTGGAGAATATAGAACCTTGATATCCCTGGTATATAATCTTTCTGGATACATTGAACCTGGAGGATATATAGAACCTTGATATCCCTGGTATATAGTCTACCTGGATACATTGATCTAAACCTGGAGGATATAGAGCCTTGATATCCATGGCATATAATCTACCTGGATATATTTATCTGAACCTGGAGATTATAGAACCTTGATATCCCTGGTATATAATCTACATATTTTGAAAAATTTATAAAAATCTCCAGGAGAAAGAGAACATAACAAAATTAGGCAAGCTTAGAATTAGAAATTGTGTAAACTTTAAATGGCGGGGCAAGCATGAAGCGGTGTAGAAGCTTGTAAGCCTGTAACAGGACAAGCATGGAGTGGCAAAGAAAAATCAACTCTTTTTATTTATTTCAATTTTATAAATTATTTATTACAATCAGGTTTTTATAGAATACTTATTTCATATTTCGCAAGTCAAAGAGGAAATAACGGGAAAAGTAGCTTCTGCATCAAGGTATCGTCCTAATTTTTAGTTTTACTATAAATACAGGGTTACCCGCAAAGAATGAGACTGTAAAGACGACTTGAAACTCTGAAAATATGACGAAATCATGGTTGAATTAAATGATTAAATGATTGAGCAAAGAAAATAACAAGTTTACAGTTGCAGGGAATCATAAATATGAGGAAACAGACAGTGTTAATTCAGTAAAGTCGTCACTGAAGTCCTTTATGGGTACCCCTGTACGTTACAGAAAAGTGTGCAGACTTTTATAACATTTTCTTTAAAAAAGTACAAATTATTAGTTTCAAGGTTTTTTAAAACTACCAAGCCCCACAACCATTCTGGCACATTTAAGATATTCCGTTTTTTTCTTATTAACTTCAATGTTTTATATATCATTACTAATTGATGTAACCGAATGATTTATTATTTATATTCTTGACATTCATGTTTAATCTAAAATATATCGTTAATAAATACTGAAAACCTTTAACCTTGGATCCAGTCACAGTAAAATATCATCGGAATTGAGTTTTTGCCACAAACTCTGATTTGCTAATCCCAATATCTTTAAAAACCAATGTAATACACCTTTGATATTTCAAACTATAAATACTAATAGATCAAATAATCTATGTAAGTTTGTACACCATCAGGATGAAAATATTTACTGATTGTAAAATTTGAGTTTGTGGCGAAGACTCAATTCTTTAAAGGCTTTACATTTCCATGTAAAATTATCAGAAACCAAAGAAAAAGTCTTTAAAAAAGATTGCTATTTTTTCTATCGCGGTGTTTTCTCCTTTTTTTTAGTAATGGAAAGAATACACTTAGAAGAAGAAGGAACCCCTTTTGGAGCTTATTATGACTTATTTTATAAAAAGAAAATTCGATTTTACTGTAATATATTTTAGATACTGCAGAGTAAATAGATTTTTGATAATGACATTTTGATTTTAATTGTTTTCAGAAATGTTGTGCAAACAGAAATAATAATTCAAACGATTAATAAATAAAAGAAACAAATACATTTTTCTATAGGGTGTCTCCAGAAACCGTTGGGAAAATTTTTTTTCTTAAGTTGGTTAAATTTTAAATTTAAGAATTTTAAAGAGTTTTCTCAGATTGATAAGACAGCACCAAGTTAGAATGTACAATTGTTCAAAGTAAACTGCTAGCGACACGTGTTTTTATTAAAGTAAACTGCTAGCGACACGTGTTTTTATTAAAGTAAACTGCTAGCGACACGTGTTTTTATTAACCGATGAGCTTACACAATTTTGATATTGAGCAAACGTGCCAATTTTAGATTCAAAAGAACTTTTTGGTTCAAAATCATTAAATCTGCAATCTGCTTGCCAACGCTTTATGTTCTAAACTGATTTGCACGTTTAAGTTTTATATAAATATTGATTGTGAATAAAAACAGGTCTTTCAAGATACAATTTCGGTTTTAAATATTTGATTTTGAATATTCTCAAAAAAATTTATTTCAAAACAATTCGTAGTCACAGTCAAATTGTAGATTTAGTTGACCTGAGTCCGAATTTTATGAATTTGAGCCGCGTCTCAAATCCGCCATAAACCGGTTTCAATTAAGCGCCGGCTTAAATCATAGAACATTGAAACAATTTTAAGTGTAAGCAAAGATATTTGAGCCGCGGCGGCTCAAATTCTTTAAATTCGGCCTTTGTTGACTTAACAAATAGGCAATTCTAAAAACATAAATATTTGCGTTCAACACTAATTTATTTTCCAAGCTCTTAGAAATCCTTCCAGATCAACAATTTGAGGTTTGGTTTGAACTAGAAGGGTCTGATGAGGTAGGGTAGGATGAGAACTACACAGAGTAGGTTCCAGAATATACTAGGAGGAGAACTAGTCCTACTAGAGTAGTTCTCATGCCAAGCAATATCATACCTTCATATCAGACTTGTCATAATTCATGCAACTCTAGAACTTTTCTTATAAAACAAAATT